GTGTGTGTGTGTGTGTGTACAGTGCCCTGAGACAACAGTTGCTGTGACTTGGCCTTATAAATATAAACTGCGTTGAATTGAACAATGCTTTGGGGAAGGGGTGCTCTACGGAGCTTTGTGTAAATAGGCGGAGCTTTGTACCAGCAAGCATTTAGGCAGCTTTACATGGCTACTGCAGGAGATTCAAGGATTTCTCAAACATGCATGAATGAGTCAAAGCAACACTCTGGGTATGTTTTTGATGAGAGAATGACTTTATAACATAAGGCTCAAAAAGCCAACTCTGCGTTATACCCCCACCCCTAACTTACTCCCCCTTTCCCATTTATTTAAGAAAACATTGAAAAGCCACTCCCACAAATTCTAATTCTGTTATAGCAACAAAATCATTCCAAGAACTTGAGTTTATCTCGTTGCAGTTTACACTGATTTTAAACACTGATGACTCATTTGTGAAATGTCCCACTGTGCAGATCATAARGCCCGGGGGTCTCATATGGGATCATCACATGAGCAAAGTGTGGCATGGGGGCTGTGTGAAGGGAACCCCTTCATCTTCACAGAAAAAAAAAAAAAACATCCAGATTAAAGATTAGTAGTCTGAAGAAGCCCCTCTGTGCGGACACTTGGGGAGTTGCTCTGATCACAAGCTGGGGGGCAGGGGGGAGCTGAGTACATGTTAGTGTTACTGTGTCCCAAACAACTCGAGACCCAGAGGCAGGTTTCGTGTGCGAAGTAAAGGAACTACTGAAGGGTCAGACAACGAATGAAAAGGAGCAGGAGTGAAGAAGTCACAATGTTTGGGTTTGACCCACCCGCCCCCCTCATCCAACGGTCACAACTCCTGCCTTTTTCCACTGTAGCAGGGTGGAGCTTATTTGCTTTGAAATGCCTTTGTGATTGTCAACGTTGCATATTCTGAAAAGAGGAATAACAAGATGATAATTTTTTTTTCCAGCTTGAGTCATTCGAGGAACGAATTTTAAGATTCGGTTTCCCCCCAAGCATCCAGACAGAGCAGAAACATGTGGCTGAACAGTGAAACGACACGRTGGAGATGAGAAAAGAGCCGGGGAAACTAAATCTGATGGCTAGAGTTTCACTTTACTCGGTGCCTCTTGTCGTCTGTCAGGTGGATGCCACGAGTGCCCGAGCTGCTGCCTGCCACACGTTTTGGAGCCGTTTGTGTTGAATATCTGCGCCTTGCAAGACGATAAAAATTGTTGCACAAGGTTTCCAAATTAGGCAAGCTAGAGCAATAAATCTCATAATGAAACAAAGACAAAAAAAAAAAACAAAAAAAAACAAAGTGGTTGGACATGTGTTCGCTCATTAAATGACTCCCCATTTGCTGTTTCCAGCAGACACATTTCTAACAGATGTTTTGCGTAACAAACCATTAACTGGTTATCACATCAGAATCAAGACACAGGTATCGCTTTTGTCTCTCCTTTACGTTCACATCTCTAATTTCTGCATTAAATTAGAGGTGAATTCAAACACCACTGTGTGTTTTCTATATCCCTCCTGTCAGCGCCTCACTGATCTGGATGGGCCCAGATGTTGTGGCGCAAACAGCAGACAGGGATAGAAGGGAGCCAGCCATTCGTCAGATGCAGGCAGCACATTATCCCCGAGCACATGACAACAGCTGCCTTGTCCCGGCACAGAGGCAGGGTTGTAAAAYTGCACCCGCTACGTCATGAAAAGAGGAGGAGGCAAAAACAGAGAAGGGAGGGATTTTGCTAAGGAGTTAGTCAATGCATAATAGACCACAAAGCAAATAGACTGCATGTGACTCGCTCTGGGTGGGGTCCTCTTTTGACAGACTGCAGGATTTTAACGCTGATACTGGGAGGCGAAGCCTGCAGGATGAAACACTTAACTATAGCGTCTTGTGATGAAATTCAACCAAACACGAGTTTCATGTAATCCACTATGGACAATTTGTCTTCGTTTTTTTAAGAGTAGCATTGCCTTAGAACCCTACGCAGTGCTTACTTATTGAATTTTAGCACACAGTTCTGTATTTAGTTGATTTTAAGCTCTGTCAGATGAAAAAGAACACGTGATCACCTTCGCCTGTCAGTTGCTWCACAGATTCTACCGAGGAAAACAGCTGCACGACGCAGCTGTGAGACCGAAACAATTCAGTCAAATTGAAGACAAAAACATCTACACACTTTACGTGTTTTTTTATTTTAGTTTAATCTCAGTTTAAAAATAAAAACATTTCTTGATTTTTAAAACCACCAATTACTTCGAGTATAATTTACTGCACGATGTCAATGTTATTTCTTAATTTAAAAAAARGCACCAGATTCTTTGGAAATCATTAAATCTTTCACGACTTTCAAAAGGGAAGCAACTAAAAATGAAAAAGTGTTGTGTAGTATTTGTGCAGCCCACATGATTTAAAGTGTTTCARTTCAGTTTACTTTTATAAAACAAATCAATAAAA